CCCCTTCCCAGCTCCGGGCAGTCTTTCTCTCGCCAAAGTCCCCATCTCCTCCTGCGTCAGCAGGACAGAGACTCAGAACGAGCGGACATGGTCAGGAAGAAATTAAAAATGGCCACGGGCACAGCTGCCATCAAGGGCCTGGGCTCCCAGCTCAACCCCTCGGACAAACCAGCTCCCTGCCCTCCCAGGGGCCGGGTCTGCACCCAGGCGCCCACAGGCCTGGCCGCCATCGGCCCTCGGCTCCTGCCCTGCATCCAGTAATGCGGAAAAAGGCCGGGAAAAGCAAAACGCACTCACATCTGCCACGCTCACAACGAGCCGGTTCTCCTGTCCACTATCTGGATGTAGTGTGTTGGGTTTTGGCCAGACTGGTTTTTAAACCTTTTAATTAATGTCATTGTAACTACCAATTACAGTAAACCCATAGGAAAGACTCTTACTACGAGCAAGAGAGCACAACTAATGGGAAAACTAAGCAGTTTTCTAGTTGTCAGATTCCCAAAGGCTTACATCTGAAGTACTGACCCACATTCACTAAAAAAAAAAACCGCAAAACTGAGATCAAAAATTATCAACTCCTGATAATCGTCTTCTGTCAACTATTTACTGTCACACTTCAGCTGAACATTTCGATTTTACACCCCCAAGTTTAGCAAAAATTAACTTGAAGAATACATACGTCTTTATTAGAAGCACTGTTACTAGAAAGGCAGAATTTATCTGTCTGCAGGGGGAAGCAGTATTTAAATTAAATGCAATGCATTAAAATTAAATTTTAAAGCAATTTAACATTAATCTATTAAATTTAGGTTTAATATCAATACATTTTGATTATTTATACATGTTAATACCCAGAGCTTTTTAAAAGCAAATATATACTAAAATTAGCAGTAATTGTTGAAAGAAAAAAAAAAAACCCAGTACAATCTATGTATTTAGTACCAAAGTGGCTCAAAATGAGGAACAGCCATGCACAAACACAAAACCTAACAGAAGGTGCAAGTGGACAAGTGGAAGGTGGGCATGGAAGAACTGAGGATGGATTTACACGGGAAGAGGAAAACTTCTGGCTTAACAGAGACTGATAAATCTGCTCATTTTCTTTAGGTTTTTATTTCAAATCGAGTTGCTCAAGAAAGGCAAAGGAACTATGACTTTCGAATCATCCTCTCCACCGAAGTGAATTAATAAACAGTGTAAGTAATAATTATCTCCAGAACCTGACCTTGTAATTTGTTGAGCATTATGCATCCCTCCTTCCCAGAGACGCAGGCTACCCACCCCAGCTCATCCTCAGGCTCTGCACTGGAGCCCCAGCCCAGCTTGGACCAGAAAGCACCCCAAGGAATCACACACACATACGTTTGATATCATGGTGGATAATCCTCTTGGAGTGGAGAAAGTCAAGTCCTTTCAAAATATGCTTTGTCACCCAAATGATTTCAAATTCTCTCATTGGACCACAACTCTCCAGCTTCTCCATGACAGATCCTCCCTCTCCAGCTTCCATAAAGAGATGGATCGTCTCATCCCACAAAATAGCACCGTATAATTCGGCAATGTTTTCGTGACGGAAACATGCCTGTATTTCGACATCTGACGGTTTGAACTGTTCCACTGGGACCTAGGACATTGAAACAAAACCACAGAAAAGCAGCTCAAAAAACAAGTTATCCATACCAACACTAGTTATCCTATAGATTAAGATGGAAGAAGGAAGCAAAGCACTCCTACCCACTTGTTAAAATACAGAGCTTGTCCTTCCTTTCTAGTTGAGATAAATCCTGTTTAAAGTTGAGAGAGTTTTTGGAATCATGCCCAAACAAAAATGGCAATCTTCCACAAAAAGTAATGTAGCAAGAGTTATTCCCGTCAAAATCTGGTATTTACGCAAAGGCTTTATGCAAACTTCCTGGTGAAGGACATAAAAATCACACTGCTTTTTCCACTAGCTTTGTACAGTCTCATCTGCTCTACCAGAAGTCTACACCCATCTGACACGTGGAACAGTGCTCGCAGTGCTCAGCACAGTCTGCAGACTAACCATGCTCAGGACCACTGCTGACCTCAATTCAGTCCTTACCAGCACTGTTGTGTGGCTTGTAAGAAATAAAACCTGCTTCAAAGCGAGCACCTGGCAGCGCTATATTTCTTTAGAAAGTACTGACAGCAAATTGCTAAGACAATAAAAGGCAGTGTTTGCTTACACAGAGAAAGGCTACTACTGCTCTTTTTATTCTCCTTCCCTCAGACTTGTGGCTGTGAACCAAATAAGAGGCTAATATTTTTACTGCAATGAGAAGTACTGTTTGTGTTTTCAGAAACATTAGGAAGCTTTAATCCTGCAGTGGGTTACGCAGAAGCAACAAACTAAATCTGTCCCCATCTAGATACACTGGCTACAAGGGAAGGTATAAAACTGACTCCCCAACTCTTTCGTATGCAGAAATAACACGGGTACTTATTCATGAGCGGGGGGATATAGAGCAGTGCCCCAGCTGATCTTTTACTGGGCCCACATACTTACTGCTCAGTTCAGAATATTATGTTGAAAGAAAACATTGGCTTGCATAAAAATAGGGGTGTGCTCAGCAGTTTTCTTGAGACATCTCACAACCTTATGCTCAGTCAGTACCCAAAACACCATGAGAGTTGCACATAAGCTGAGCTCTCAGGGACATTAACGGCACTGAAGTAAAGAAAACTTATGTCTGAAGACCCCAGTTAAAGGATGAGAACCTAAAACCATCTGCAGCAACAGGGTTTTGCTATCACCTTCAGCAGGTATGGGATCTTGTGCTGGTATTTTACCACCGTGAGTACAGCAGGACAAGTACAAATCCTTCCACCCCTGCACCGCAGCAGGCCTGCCCACGTGGCAGTTACTTCCAGATACTCTCAAAATGCTGAAACTTTTGCAGTCTCAGAGCCAAAAAATTAAAACCAGTTAACAGTTCAAAAATGTGCATTTTTCCTACGTTGTATAGGCCAACACAACCGAAATGGTCATCAGCCTAAGAGTGGAACTTGATGCTGACATATTTAAAAATGCACTGTATGTACTACATCGTACAGTATTTGCTCAGAGATAAAACTACTGAACTAACATACCAGTTTGCATGCCATTCGTTTCTTGGTTTCTCTATCTTGGGCTAAGTACACCTTCCCAAAAGCTCCCCGAGGAATAAAATCAGAGCCAATGTTCCTGTAAGTCAGCTTCCACGGAAACAGGAGCACATCTGAGTCGATTTGATAGCGCCCATTCTTGGGTGTGATCTGTGGAGTTACATAATAATAATTAAAAAAAAAATCACAATGAAGTTAAAACCACTTCAAGCCTAATTAATTTTTTACACATAGTAGAAAAAAATTAAAATATCACTTATATATGTGCATGATGCATGCGATCTGTTCAGCAGTCTTTATTTAGAAACACCAAATGGGAACAGCATGTGAGGTGTGGCATTCATTCACAGCCCAGGCATCCACGTTTCTCTCCAGTGACTAACTTGCAAAGTGTAAGTTGCAATTAATTGTCTTGAAACAACAACAACAGCAGCTGGGTTAATGAAATTAACCACCTCTTATTAGATCTACCTGCACATGTTTGTCCTTCCTGTAATCTGCTAACTCGTTATGCCACATACCTGTTACTCACAGGCTATCTCACACGATGTGAGCAAGAGTTTCAGCGTTTCCTAATATCACATGTACTGCCAGGGGCACACATCTTAATTTTCCATCTTGTATCAGAGTTTCTGCTGCTTAGTAAACGGTCAGAGAAGACTGCTGCAACTTTACCAGCCACCGCCTTCTAGTTTTATGCTGCAGCTCAAAAAAAAGAGTGGGAGACTGCTTTGGCTGGGTAACACGTCTGGAGCTTTGGTTCTCTATGTACTGTCAACGAGGCCAGGAGGGCTCCTCCAGGAAGAGGTTCAGAGCATCTAAGTCAGTATCTTGCTCTAAATCTTCCTCCAAAACAGCTCCCTCCCTCTGCACATGACAGAGACCAAACTCCTAACTACAGCCGTGTGACTACTGCTTGAGATTTGGTGTTCTTTCTTCAGTCTCTTCATATTCTCTCAGCTAAAGAATTAGTAGCGGTGTTTCCAGGAGATATGCTTCCAGTTAATTCAGGGATATACAGTATTGTCAGTATCTGGAATATCATTAACCTGCTTACTGCTACTTTGTCAAGATGCTTGAAGATATGTAAAAGAAGACCACGGATATTTATCACTTCATATCTATCACATGGTCTCACGTACCCAGATCTTTCAGCTACCCTTTTATGATAACAGCATATGAGGAAGATTATTGGGTTTAGATTTCTTTTTAAGATGTAACTCACATAATCTTTCTGTGCTTAAACTACCTTCATGTTTTTCAATTAGGAAAGTATCTTACTGACTGCTAAAACTGTCATTTGTGACTAGTAGCTACATGAAATAAGTTAATTCTTAGAAGTTCTTTAATTCTGGGGAGAAGTTCTTAACTATTGGTGGGTAGGTGTCTTTTTATTAAAAGTATTTTGCTTAGGATATGCAGAATGAGCCTCCCCTCTACTTGTTAGAACGAAGATAAAGACTCTAGCAATCTGTACATCTCGCCTACTTGCTTCTACATTGCCAGGGGCTGAGACTAGCTAATCCACGTGGGTTATGCCTATCCTGGAGAGTAACACAGACTGAGTGGAGTAGATTTGCAGAGCAAGAGAGCAACAACTACCACACTATTCAAGTTTTCAGGAGGCTTTCAGGACTAGTCCTTAGCCTGGTCCTGCGGACTGAATGCTCATTTGTGGCTGTAACACATCCTCCAGTTTAGTTTCAGCTGAAAGAAATCCAGCTTGTGCACTCCAAGACCCTTCATAACGCGAGCCACAGTGCAGTCAGTGGGATCACCAGGCAATCAGCTCCAGCTCCTAACTAAAATGCTGTAGATATTTACAATGTATGCAGATGCACGTGCTGAAAAGCATTCACAGGTAATGCCCTGCCTCCAGTCCCCAGTTGCTTAATGGGATCACGTGCACCTAATAGTACTTGGTTCATACCAGTTGTATGCATCTGCAGAAATAATACGCAAGCAAAACAACCACGAGTATGTAGAACAGTGTCTATCCTAAGTATAGGACACATTTAGTATTAGTAAGTGTCATTTCAATGTTACAGAGTTTAAAAAGCGACTGTTCTGCAATACTGCAATGCTCTGTCCAAATCAGAATAAAGCAATACCCGGTGCTATTTCACACCTGAGTAACCAGTAAGCCTCAAGTAACCAGTGTTCACATATAAAACATATTACATGGAAGATATTTAACATGATAGATACAGAACATCTTAAGAAAATTAAAACAGCAGCACAAACTTATATGAATAAACTTCCATTTTATAATTGATTGTTTCCAGGGCAACTGATTTTAAATAGAAGTTCAGTGACACTAATATCTACAGATGCTTGTAGAACAAAAATCATTTCAGAGGAAAAAAACAACACATCCCAAAACAATGCACCTATATGTAAATTTTGGATAATATCGTAATTCTGAAAGTCACAGTTGATATTACATGTTTTTTCTCCTTACATTACTAGTTTTCACATTTTGTGCAGATAGAGTGAATTCAGTAACTGTATCAAAATAGATTCCAGACCTTTATTTGGGAGTTTTGCACAATGAACTCTTTTTACTGCATGAACACAATGCACTGGAAAACCCTTACTGTCTCCCAAACCTGGAAGCCATCATAGTTGTGGCTTTTGCTTTTTTACTGTGTGTCTCAAGTTTCTGCTCAACGTTGGGAAATGTTTTCTAATCTCCAAGGATACCAAGAAGCAATACAGAGCGGATCTTTCCAAACAAAAGACCTTTCTCCATAGCTGCCTGAGCCTGCAGGGGCTAGACTTGATAACCTCAGAGATGCCCTCCAGTCCCAGGTTTGCACAGGGAACAACAGCCTGTTACTCCCGGGACTGGGGGTGATCTTTATTTAGATTCATTAATAACTTCCAACTCCTAAGGCCTACTAATTTTCATGTAAACATAAAAGGGACATACCATATTCAAGAGGATTCCGGATTCTTGCTGTCTACATCCTTTAAACTGTTTTGCAGTGTTAGACACCTGATTTGCAAAAGCAAGCAGGTCTTCCACAGTCCCATATTTGACGGAGGACATCAAAGAAACCTCCCCTTCACAAAACAGTAAAGATTCAGCACGTTCTTCGTTTTGGTTTGCCTCTTCACACATTGTAATCAAGCTGTCTTCGTACACTGCAAGGTCTCCAGCTGGGTAAAGGTTTTCCATGATGTCTATCACCTCAGACATATTTAAATTAGTTAGCAACAAGTCAATCTCCTCTTTGCTATCGCTACCCGTGCTCATATACTCCATTACTGTCCACTTTGCAAAACCCCTCCTGAAAAAAAAACAAACAAACCAACCTGAAAACACTTTTCACCCAAATTTGTTCTAGCAAACTAAGAATGAAAAGAAGTGATCAGTGTGACAGACAACTCATTATACAGTTAGATTTAAAATTATTAATTTGTATTATGAAGAAAATCATAGTTAGTAGACTGGGTGAAGAGGAAATGGAGAAAAAGTCTTTGCTAGTGCAATTTTATCTAGAAGTTATTAGTGAATCTCCCCTGTCATTCATTCTTGGAATTTACTTTGATGAAGCTTTTTGTTAGAGGAACTGGTGCAGTAAGGAAGCACAAAGCAGTTATATTTTGCTGGATATGGAAAAATGAAGGAACACCCTCAATACAAATGAAGGATTTAATTGTTTGGAAATGAATGACAAAGAGATATACATGTACTCAATTAAGTTTGTCCCCAAGTTTTTATGAGCAATTTATGCAATGTGTCCAGAAAGAGGAGAAGGTCATGGAGCAACATCATTCCACTAGTAATAAACATTTGTTATTATCATTGCATAAAGCACAAGTCACCACCTGAGATATATAACCCATCTTTTTCACAAATGACTGACCAGAACTGGACTTGAACTGAAATATTCACCAGTTTCAGAAGAAAGTCAGAAATGGAGCTATCATAAAACCAATGAGCTTTTAAAGCAGTTTCCAGCAGTTTGCTCTAATCTCACTATTCCGAACAATGACTTTTTAAAGATTAATCTTGATCATTTTGCTGAAGTGGACTTTCACTACTAGAAACTGTATTTGACATCCCAAGCAGTCCCGTGCCACTCCAGGTTCCTACTTCAAGCCGGAGAGAGTTACTCCATTCAAGTTAAAAATATACGCATGGTCAGTCATTAAAATACTTATACAGTTTTCAACATGTAAATGTCTAGGCGCACTTACCTTGTATTTATCCTGGTTGCATCACACAAAACCATCAAAAACGTCTCAATATAATCCGTAAAGTCGTCATGTTTCTTGAACCTGTATTTACCACTGATGATAATTTCACAGCGTTCTGTAGCAGTCTATTAAAAAAGCAAAACAAATAAAGCGTTGGCATACCAGCTCAAGCAGAAGGACTGGTTTATGCTCATATGATCACTTGCTTCGCCGGCTTCACGGAAAGAAAAACTAGTAATCACAAGGCTGAGATAACAGGGGATTTTTTTGCAGGAAAAAAAAAGATGACAGCTCACAAAAGAATCAAGCTACTGTACGATCATCCAGATTTCCACGTAGTAGTGAAAAATAAGTTTTCCATGGTTAGGTCCTGAGTTTTATTCTCCCTGCCTCATGCTTGCTAATAGCGAAGAAGAGAAGCATCTCCTTTTCCTCTAGCAGAACCAAGTGAAGTGTGCCCTATTTAGAGAGCTTTCATTTCCCTCTTTCATAATCCACTGCAACCACTTATCTTGGGCAAAAGGTAACAACCAGACAAAAAGATACTTAAAAAAAGAAAAAAGGCAGGCAGCAAGCACAACCTATTTATGTGAAGGACAAGCAGCAGACTGGGTCCCCTGAGGCCACGAAGCAACGCCGTTTACCCAGATACAGTTTCTGGTTATGATCATTATCTTTCTTACCCTCCCCGCAAGGATGTGGAAGCTTTGCGGCACATATTTCTCATGGGTTAGGGTATTTACGTCAGCTCTAACGTTGAAGAAAACCGAGTAAAATGACGCGGCTGACTTGGCAAAGGAGCTCGGACCACGTGCGGCGTGTTCGAGAGGCAGGACAGGCCAGCTCAGCAGACACAGCACGGCGAGAAGGCGAGGTGAGGGAGAGCCTGCGGTGCAACGCGCTCCTTTTGGAACCACCGGGGTGATGGTGGCAGAGCAGCACCGTGCCCCCCGAACACGGCAACTGGGCACCAGGTCACCCGGCCCCAAGGCAACCTGATGGCACCCCTAGCGTGAGGGCAGCTGGGTAGGAAATCTCGTGGTTGCCAGCACTACTCGAGCAGGGAGCACCCACGCTTTGTACCTGGGGTGATGAGAGAGGTCAGGTTTTTCCAACCTACACAAGAAATAAAAGATGCTAGGGGTGTTTTCTAACCCCTAGCATCCCACCTTCCTGCTCTATATCCAACCTAAAGGATGGTAACAAAGCCTGAAAGCGTTTACTCGGTATTATAAAGGAAATCTCTATTTGTCCCCACAGCAGGACTTCTATTCTTTGTGCTTTTTTTGGTGCTGAATTCGTGGGGGTGGAGAGAAAAGAAATAGTCCAGTCATAAAAGGAACAGAGAGACTGCATGTGTAAAGTCAGGTAAAGTCAGAAACTAGTCCTGAGGGACTTTCTGAAGAAAAACATGAGCCTCTCGATGCTCTAGTCTTTTGTGGATAAAGACAAGTACCTACCACAATTAAACTAATTCACTCTCTGATAAGTTTTCACACGTAAGACATCTGTACAGTTTAGACCAAATGCAGCTTCCCATAAGTGCCAGCTCTGTTCTGCTCCTCAAAATGTTCCCAAACTACAGTACAATACTACTAATAATCTTGACAGTTTCACTACTACCCAAAAAGCTCTGAATAACAAGAAGTGACTATAACCTGCATATTCTCAGTGCTGTGCTTTTAGTGCTTGAGAAAAGCTGCAGACCTTTTGTTTTTCTCCGTAGCTAGCAAATCCTAAACACTAAATGTTTACATAATGAAAGCAGTGTCTAAACCATGTAAAGCTGATTTTTTGAATTATGAAGAAATTTATATTATATTTCCATCTCTGACAAAAACAGGTGTTCATTTGCCAACAGGGAATTCATTCATTTCTTTCATCCCTAAAAAACTGTATCAGTATCCATGGTGGGCACTCAAGTAATGTTCTAAATCATTCTTTACAATCCAGGTACATGAAGAAATTACATCACTAAGTATGCTTTATGTAGGTTCCCAGTTAAAAAACTGGTTTTACCTACAGTGGAAAAATGAAACTAAATGTAAGCACTTTTGCTTCTCTATTTAACACGAGTAGCTTTTCCTTAAACACCTTCTTCTGAGAAGCGTGCTGCTCGAGAGCACCCTTATATCCGCTGTATTAAAATAAGAGTAACCGGGTACCAGACTGCTGGGCTCCTCTGGGACTTCTTTGTGTCAAGGATCAACAAAACAAAAAATCAAACAAAGCCTACAATAAAAATTAAAAAAAAACCCAAAACCCACAAACCTAACAACAAACTGCAGACTGGCTCAACGCAACCATATACCCATAATAAAGATTTCCCATGCTGCTTTTAGGGAATAATTGTCTCGTCTAAGCACCAAGCAATTGTCCACCAGTGATGAAATAATAGTCCTGATTCGCTTTTAAGAAAAAACACAGACCTGGAAAGGCACAATCCCTTCGGAAAAAAAAAGTTCTGCTGTCAAGAGAAAAGAAACACCAACGACTTCAGTTTCGACATCACCTCGCGCTTCCACCGGCCGAAAGGCAGCCGGACCCCGCAGC